ACAAGTCCTGCGCACAGGACGATTGATTTCATGAAATTTAAAGATCCTATCGAGAAATCTATCCTTAAACTATTTTTTCGATCAATCTGAAATATTTTGGTGGCCTATATACGTATCGTAAGTATTATCTAAATGTGAATGACGAATACTACTTTCAGTTATTTCTCTCAACATTACATTTCGACGAAGTACCAAAGATCATACGCTGCTGATATAGAAAATATAATATTATAATGTTATTCGAAACTCGACGATTGAAACTGGAAATTCACGAGATTTGAAGCATCTACATACCTATTTATGCGATCGAAAAGATAGCTCAGATATCGAGATATATATACTTCAACGATAATAACGTCCAATAATATCGCCGCGGGGCTACGTTCAATACTCGATTTCGTGCGTGTGCCCGATGTATGTTACAATTTTGTGCTGTTACTTCGATTTCGCCACGAATCTCGCGCTCAAAACTGCCGCCGAAGCGTCGGCGTGGTTGACCCAGATATCAACGTTTGAACGAGCAAGTATTCTCACGCGACGAAATCGAAAGAAAGAGATTTCGAAACGTGAAATTTCGAAAATTTCCGAAATGTTCCACGCTGATTACAGCAAACACGCTGACGAAATTGTTGTTCGCAATAATGTATCGCGTAAACGGTACATCCGAGACATGTGAATTGATTTACTGCTGCCTGATTTTTGATACATCGCCTGAAAAAGGGCGATGGCTGCGTTCAGCAAAAAAAAAAAAAACTTGTAACAGCTTTACACATAAAACTGTTGCATCTTTAATATTATATATTTCGATCCAGGAATTAAGAGGAATTAAAGGTAAGAACCAATTGTATTGCTTTGCAACTGTTGTAAGATTCTTATATATGATTAGTTTATACATTTAAATCCAGTGAGAAATTAGGAACAAGATCAATCATATTAAAGAATTTTACAACAGTTGCAAAGCTGCTCTTTCTGCTGAACGTAACCAATAATTATAAGAATCTTACGACAATTGCAAAGCTTTTTCTGCTGAACGAAACCATCGCCTGATGATCGGCAAGAAATTTTCCGGAGCGCATTTTGCTCATCATCCGCGTGCACAAGTTCACAGAGTTCGTGTTATTGATTCGCCGACGAATTGTAGACGCGCTCAGCGTATTAGTTATATTAATGTGTGTAATGCACGATGTAAGCGGCGTCGAAACGTTATAGAACATAAAGTATCTTTCACAAATGGGAATTAGAGCCGGTGCAATGGTGTATTATAATGCACAATTATTATATCACGACCATAAGGGAAAGACTCGCTGAATTATTAATTTACTGCAATCCTCGAACTTAATGTGCGGCAATGAAGAATTAACGCAGGCGACGAACCGGTTCTAATTGATTCAAATGCAGACACGAAGTAGAATAATAAACATAAAGGAAATGAAGTTGCTTTTCAGTGAGTTATTAAAAGAATTTCTTTCTTTGCTGAAATTTCGTTTTCTAGATTTTTCTCATATTTTCAATAGATTTTATACACATGTTGAAAATAAAATCCTCGGCAAAAAAAGAAACGCGACTGGTGATTATGACTTTTGATGTCGAATTCTGCCATTTTTCTCTTCAGATAGCAGTGGGAATTTGATTTCATTAAAGTAATTTTACGACGTATCAGCTCACAATATCCACTACTTGTAAGCATTGCAATTTTTATTTTTATGCTTACTTAAATTGTTTCCTTCCGCATAAAATTTTTTTCAAATGAAATGTTTTCTTACAAAAATCTACACCCATGAATATATAAGTTTAGAAAAATTCAGGGAAGATAAATATAAACACAAACAGTCATTTTCTCTTCAGATGATACATATATCGATTGCGTTTTTTTCCTTTATCTAGATTCCTAATCGAAAGAACCTTCGAAATATACGATTGCTCAACGATACATAATCCAGTTGTGAAATGATATTACAAATTATTATATTGACGATA